ACTGTAATATGTATGATGGCCAGGGAAGTTTGACTGCACCTTTCATGGCAGAAACGCTCCATTCAGCAGAGGGTCACATTTACTTTCTCAAATATTACTTTTCATTACCTTTCCTTCAGAACCCTGGGTTCCCCCCTCCCCTCAGCGTGGCACACGGAATTAGATAACACAGGATCTTATAACAGTTTGGAAATTACAAAACAATTCTATTTACTACATACCAGACTGCTCGAAGAGATTAAAGAGAGTGTCTTTTCAGTTTCATTAACATATGTATATCTCAACAGACTTAGACGTAGAATAATAAATGCATTTTGAAGAACAGTAAATGCTTGTTAGAAAAAGAGCATTTTTAAGGTTTAAAACAGCAAAAGCAGAAACTTGTCTATAGCAACAATAAGGCTTAGAGAGGAAACAGCAAGAGGATTGAAATGAAAACAAACACCACACAGAAAACAAACAAAACTGTCTTTCCCCACTAAATCTTTTCCAGCCAGTGACTGAGAATTCGGGTTAGTATGGCTTCTAGAGCACTTCCCATAGATGGGAAAACATAACAATAGTTACAGGTGGCTTCTAAGGGATGTTGTCAAAAACTTGGGTCTTCAAAATTCCACAAAACACAGAATTGTCGGAGTAGAAAAAAAGCCTCACGTTTCAGTTCCAGAATATACAGAAATTCATTTTATCTCCGTTTTTATCACAGAAACATCAGGTTTTACACACTGTCAGTGCCACTCTCATTGTCTACTCCAATCTGTTAGTAAAGTCATCAGGATGAGACTTAGAAATGACTGTCATTTAGGCACTCCTAGACTGTCTCATGGATTTGAGAGCTCACACCACCTGAACAGGAAAATAGTAAAGACTGATGGGAGAAAACTCCTATTGCTCTACATCAGCACTGACTTTAAAAGGAACACAACAAACCTGCAAGCAAAACAAGAAGTTCTATTTAATAAGCTTCTGCTCACTGTTTCCCCAACAGCTCGGGGTTAATTTTGACAGGTCTGTGCACAAGTCATTTAAGCATTAGGGATCACCTTCCTCATATCTGCTATAGGTGGACAAACACTCCTGAAGCTCTGACCTATTGACACAGCTCTGGTGACAGGGAAGAATCGACAGTGTATGCCTTTAAAATATACATGCAGGGAAAAAAAGCTATGCAGAAGATGGTTATGGAGAGGAAGGGGCTGGGATGTGGCAATTACTGGGAGTTGGAAACAACTATTTACTCTTCCACTGAATAACTTAAAAAAATAATTCACCATGGCAACAATCATACTTCATAGTAGATAAAGCACTGAATGCTACAAAGCCTTTGCAAAATGAATTATGCACCAGTGTGTAGCATGCACTTTCTTTATGTTACTGCACACATATTCCAACAAAATGTCCTTTCAGACTCATCTGGCATTTGCTTTTTCACTGCACCAAATACCATCTACTTTTCTGACTTCTGTCCCACTCTGATCTCATGGATCTGGAATTGTTGAAGGACTTTATTGTGTTCCATTCAAGAGATTGATATAAAATAATTAATGCATTAATTATTTCCTTAGGTTGAATCGAATGTTATATTGAAAAAGAAGAATTATTTCCTCTTATTCGTAATGGCTTCTTCCCCCACCATTGCTCAAATTGCATCATATTCAGAGTAAATTTGTATCAAAGTCACAATTATGACGATTGGTAGTACATTGTCTTCTCTATTTAAGATCCAAAGATAAATTATCAGGCTTTGACAGGACAACAGAAGTTCAGCAGCATAAAGACACACATTCCTACAGGCCGTGTAGCTCAGCCAAAGCAGTGTGAGAACTGCAGTCCACAACACATCTGTGAGGTTCAATAAGTACTTTCATACCAAGATCAGCGCTTCCCAAATCAGCAAGTAATTCAGCCATGGAGGCACAGGACAAGGGTACAAGTAGAAAAGGACATCGCCCCGAGAGTTCCTGTTTGCCCTGAAGAGGATGCATCTAAGGACTGAGGCTGCACCAGCACCACCGACCCACACCCCACACCCCTTCTCTGGGTCAGTCCCATCCGGAGCTCACCTTTACTCACAGGTGTGAGGGGTTGTTCCTTCACAAACCCTGGGAAAGAACCCGAATGGAATGTGTGGAACCACTAGGTGTCAGCAGAAGAAAGTGCACGGCCACAGCTCCGAGCCCAAAAGCTGAGCCTGGCTTCCCAACATCACCCACCAGCTCAGGACTGCAAACCCCTTCCCACACAGCCAGCTCTGGGAGGTGACCCACTGCGGGAATTCAGGGTTTAGACGATGACAAAAACAGCAAGAAAATGGGAATTCGGAAATTTAAGTCATACCCAGGAAGATCATCTGCCTCAATACAGCCCAGAAAACACCCCACTGCTGCCGTGTTTGGCTGTACTTAACAGCAACAGAGGTGTGTGGTGACTGCACTTACATCACACCCAACACATGCTCTGCTGTACTCAGCATCCAGCTTAATGCAGCTACAGAAAACACAGTAGGGAACAGCACTGAATTTTGTCAACTAAATCTTATTATTAGACTTGCAAATTGTATTACCTGGATATGTTTTTCCACACAATTTCTAATTACCAAAGGCCTCAGAAAGTTGGTGGCAACAGAAACTTCTCGCCAGTGTCCTGGTGTTTATGTCCATTACACAACATTCTACCTCTGGAATAAAAGCCTCTGAACAGAATAAGAGTTCTTACTGTGCTCAAGTATAATAATGTGAATTTAAAGTCTGCTCTGTGACACATTCTGGACCTACATCGAATAATGAAAAATCAATTCACACCATTTATCCCAAAAAGTCAGCTCACACCAGTGAGATGGCCTATGAAATTAAACTGTCTTATGAAAGGAGGAAAAGCTGCTGCTTCTTTGAATTTATTTCCTAATTATCAGTGATATTAAATGAACAGTCAGATTCCTTGAGTTACAGGCCATGAAATGCAAAGAACCACATCATGTTTGGTATCGCTTATGCCCCATATTTACCCCATGTGAAGGTAACACATGAACGTGAAACACTTGCAAATTTTCTTTATCTAAATCTAATACCAGAAGGTATAATCAGAAGTTAAATTTTTTGATTTACAAAAGGACTTAGGAAAGAAATCCCTGAAAATTTCCACTTCCTGATTACTAAATTGTATTTTATGACATATTTGTGCAGCTATGTTTACAGGTTTTCTTGGATAGAATGATAAGCAAACCAAACCATTTCTTCTACTTCCACAGGTTAGCTGTCCCTCCAAGTTGCACTTTCTAGGGGTGTGCCACTGACAACTCATTTCAAACGTTCATCTTTAACATTCAGCCTTCAAAATACCAGATGGCATTTCCAGAACAGCAATTTAAATTTTTTATTTTCCTTCATAGATCCCTTAACTAGTTAATCTCACACACACACACATCCAGGCAAAGCATACACCAATATTCCCAGAGTTGCCTGGCAACTGCAGGGAGGAGCAGGGGAGCACAAGGAAGCCTGTGCGGACGAGGGAGCCGCTGTCTCCCGGCAGGGATAAAGGCGGCGCACGGCCAGGGTGCCTCGCACGGCCAGGGTGCCTCACACGGCCCAGTTCCAAACACCTCCCCATCCCAAACACCTCCCCTCGTTCCACCTGAGACGCTCTGACAGCCCAGCTCTTACACCCAGACACACACACACACAGGAGCCAAGACAATTTATTTTTTCCACACGCTCCGATTCCCCCCGTGCTGACCTCAGAAGTCATTTCTGAACCCTGAATATGAATTGTTGAAATGGTGCTTGTTTGATGGTGATAACTGGGCTGTTTAAAATTCAGGCTGAGCTATTTTCTCCTTCTGGCTTTAAAAATAACAAGTAAGACAAACTGTAGTACTGAAGACACTTCAGTAACTGAAACATCCTCCAGAAACACTATGCTTTTGGCCTCCAAATGCTTGAGGCTGAGAAAAGGAGGTATTAAGACAAAAGGATATTTTGTCCTCTACAGAGATCTTGTTAAGCAGCCACAGGTCTAAACAACAGCAGTTCAAACTGGGCCATGAATTGGGATTTACCAGTGCATTGGACTTGCACATGTGTGTGCTTCCCCTGTTTCAGAGAGAGGAACGTAGAATATTCTGGAAATATTCTGGGGATCACTCTGCAGTTAGGACATTTCATCCTCCATATTTCTGGGACATATCTCATGAATTACACATGGATGTTTTTCACACTATTTACCCTGTCTATCAGCAAATGTACACATTTTAGAAGGACCCCCCTAAGCACACAGTATCAAAACCAGAGTGTCACAAAACATGTGGAAATACATTAATTTGGCAGGACAGGGTTGCACTGAAGTCTGTGAAGATACCTGCAGTAACCCAGGGACAGGTGCCTCACTAGAAGCAATAAAAACCAAGATCAAGCACAAAAAAGTCCTTCCCCCACTCCAATGGCACAAAACAAGAGATCAGCTCTGAACCAGGAGCAAGAGATTGAATTTCCCTAACAGACATTTACTGTCAATAGTTATAACTCCAGACATCCTTCATATTTCTGTAAAAAACACAATTTCTTTACTAATTATGTTCTTAAAATCCATGATTTCACAAATTTGCGTTTCACAGTTAAACATGCATCGTGTAAAAACTTTTATCTTTTACTGCCTTTAAAAAATAACACAATGAAGAGATGGGTTTTGCAGGGAGAGGTCAGCTTTGCACTAGCCTCTTTTGATCAATTTATACTTTTTTACCATCTCTTTTCTAACTTAACTGCATTCAAAACCAAACACACCCATACCTTTCCATAAGCAGGTTTCTCCCCATGTGAAGGATCACGCTTGCTGCAGCTCTTTCATTTTGGAGACTTGAACACTGTTTTCAGTACCAGGCAGCCAAAGAGCCACCATGCTGACCTTAGTAAAAGCAGGTTATGCTACACTTCAAATTGTTAGGTTCTTTCCTCCACCACAGCTGCAGATTTACATCTTATTCCTACTAATTGCCTACTTACAGGTTCAATTTTCAGGGCGTTTCTGTAGCTCCCAAAGAAAGCTGCTTGTGCTTTTAGAAACGCTCTTGCCACACCATCTCCAGTGGTTGTAGAGACTTTCTTCAATCTGTTCTTCAGTGCAGAAACCTGAAATCACACAGCAGGTCTAGATCACTCTCCTATCACAAACAAAGCGTAACACATTGGGGCACAGCTAAATGAAAAACGTGCTAACCACAGCAGCAGCTATGACAAAAGGCGACATTGTGAATTCAGAGTTGAATTTTTCAGTTCTAAAAGCATTACTTTTCAAGCTGTTTTGCCTCTCCAAGATACAATTGGATTCTATTCAGAAACCAATAGGACAATAAAAGCTTCATTGAACCTTCCCTCCTACTTAAAATCCGCTGCTAAGTACTGTTTTAAAGGTAGTCCATGAAGTTCTGTGTCATTTTTTATTAGAATCCATGAAAGAATTACAGATAAATTAGTCAAACATCAGATTAATAAGAGAAACCGCTCTGCATAGCTGGGCCATCCATCACCACCAAGGCTAAGATCAAATTCAGGAGGTCTGAAAAAATTTGTTCGCCACAACTCCAAGTTTTTTTTAAGGCTATATTCCCTTGTAGACTTAATGGAAAATAACCCCATGAGAGCTGTATTTGAGGCTGGGGGGGTTCCCCCTCCAGCCGCTCTCCCACTGCCCCTCAGCAGCACTCAGGGAGCAAATATGCACAGCACACTTGTGGGCTCAGACAGGGAGATACAGACCCATGAGGAAAAGGCTCGAATTAGGAAAATTAATTTATTGCCAATTAATATACAGTCAGATAGCGAGAAACAAAGACAGAAACTCAGACACCTTCCTTCGCCGCCTGTTCCCAGCTCAGCTCCCTGCCCGGATCCCCCCTCCCCTCTGCCCACACCAGTCCCAACAGCTCCTCCCGGATGATCCTTCCCCCTCACACTCTTCCTCACCCTACCAGGGGGTGTTTTGCCTGTTTTCAGATTGTTTTGAAGTGGTTTGTCAAGGGCTGAGCTGTGCCTGCCCCAGCCGCCCCTCAGAGCCCATCACGGCTTCTCAGAGCCCCTCACGGCCCCTCAGAGCCCTTCAGGGCTTCTCAGAGCCCCTCACGGCCCCTCAGGGCCCCTCTCAGCCCCTCAGAGCCTGTCATAACCCCTCATGGCTTCTCAGAGCCCCTCACAGCCCCTTCAGAGCCCTTCATGGCCCCTCACAGCCTGTCATAACCCCTCATGACCCCTCACAGCACCTCATGGTCCCTCACAGCCCCCTCCGAGTCCTTCATGGCCCCAAAGCCCCTCACAGGAGGCCTCAGCCCCGTCCCTCCCTCAGCTGCTCCTGCGTGTCCCGGATCCGGGGAGGGCAGAGTTGCCCCCTCATCTGACTCCACTGGTGTGAAATACTGAATCCATGCTGGGCACTGCTTGTTTTCCTCTCAGAACTAGATGTTATCTTTGCACTTGTGTTTACAGTTGCAAAGACATTTCCTTTTAAATATTCCGCAGATTCTGCTGTAGGAGGCATTTCATTACAGTTATTTAGTATAACAGAAATAACCAAGAGCGTGTCCAGCACTGTTTATAAATCGGAGTGCTGTGGCTTATGCCAATGATCCGTGCATTAGTGAGCCCACAAACCCACATTAACACAACACGTGATACCAGATTTAGTCTCATATCCATAAAATAAGCTCACTCCTATTCACTGAGATAATGTCCCTCAAGCTCTATAATTCTCTAAATGTAAAAGCTTCACCAGATTTTCAAACCTGAACAGCACACTTCATGTTCAAACGGGTCTGAACTTTTAGGGATGAAATATCCATTTATTTCCTATATTAACTTATGCAAAACCATTTAAAGGTAGTTCTTAAAAGTGCAATAAAATGTCCAGAGCTCTGAGTAACTTTTAAATCCATCTCAAACGTTGTTATAAAGGGTTTTCTTTAAACATTAATGTGAAGATACAGAACTTGCCATCTATATAGAAGGAAAAGGCTTCATTTTAAACAAACCAGAAGTTCAGAGGGCTGGTCACAGCCTTTCTGTGCTTCAGCTCCCCTAGTTGGTACAGAAGCACAATATTGACCGGTATTTTGATAATTCCTTGAACACTGTAGCATGTCTGTTTTATACATATGCAGGATTACTGCCATAGTTTTTAACAAAAAAAAATGTTAACAGCAAGTTTAAAGAGACTAAAAAGCAACAAAAAAACCCACCCTCATACTTTCTATGGAATAAATTAGTACATAACTCAAAGAAGATGATATGAGCAGAATTAGGGTTGTTTCCTGCCAAAAGAGGCAGTCATACTCAAAAAAACCTAAAAGATTGTGACCACTGAAAATGAGGATTATTTCTAGCCAAACAGACACATATACATGCAGTCTACCCTGAGAGTGTTTTTAAAGAAGATTTTTATACTTCTGGCAGTTGAGGTTTAAAGGTCCGATTTCAACTCTCACCATGTTTCAGAATGCAATCTGTGCAATGCAGCAGAATGAAATGGTTCAGTAAAGGTGCTAGTGGAAATTCTTTTAATTAGGTCCAGGGCTTTTCAGTTGTCAACATGAATAAAGCAAGAAACCTTCTACTGCAAATGCAGTGTAAGAAATAAAAACGGATTCACCTTTAGGAAGATGGTTTGGCTACAGGGCTGTGGTTTGGTACTTCTGGTTGTCCTGGAAGCAGGACACTGATTTCCCTGAGTGAGAGCCAGGAACAGCAGCCTGTGGTGGGTGGTGAGGGACTGGACAGCAGGAGCTGCATGGCCACAGCACTGATGTCCCCAGGCCCCTGCAGTGTCCCCACACCCTGCCTGCCCTGCCCCAGGGCTCCACAGAACAACTGCACACCGACAGAGCCAGCCCGGCCTTCAGCCCTTGGAACGTGGAGCTCTGGCTACAACCACGACTAGAAGATGACACTTATTTGGAAATACATGAAAAATCCATAAAGGTTGCATAAAAAAGAAATAAATTACTACCCCCTCTTTGCTATTCGTTGCAACACAGACGGTGGTGTAGGAGACTTGTCAGCAGCAGATGCACTTATTGTAATCACAGTCCTTAATAAATCTCTTTTTTTTAATAATGACTATTTTAAAAGGAAAGTTGCTTCCCGGGGTGCTCTCATGCTGCCAGATTTTCAGCAACACATCAGAAGCAGAAGGTGAAGGAGGGACAGTTTTTCACATTTCAGACAGTGAGTCAGTAACACAGTAGTACACACCTTGATTTTCCTGGCCAGTTCAGGAAGCCTGACAGTCAAGAGGTACTGCTGGGGCAAGTGGGGCAAAGAAACTTTATCTGACTCTGCTGGATCTGCCCCTGCAGCTCCTCTGACACAAATGCTAAGTGGAAAGACCCTTGGGTAGCCTATGTTTGCTTGGATCCTAGGAATTAAAGAATAGCTCGTTCTAGATTCTCAAGAACCAACAGTTTAGGTAGCAACATCACTGTCATGAAACTCAAGCACAGCACACTACCTGAAGCTCTACAAGAACCACTGGACTTCATTCACTTGATTTAAAAAGCTGATCAAGGAGGGGAGAAAACGGCTTTAGAAATTTTCCACTGGATTAATTACCTGATGGTGAATGCATCACACAGAAGATGTTTTTCCTCACTGTTGAATATAGATAGATTTAATTTAGCAAAGTAAATTTTGTCTATTCAGCAGTGCATGAATTGCTCACTGCTCACATTAAGTAACAAAGCTGACATAGTAGTTTGACATAACAAGCATTTATGATCAGGAAACTCCTGAAGACATTTTTAGTTTCTCAGGTCATAAATGCATCTACTTAGACCAAGACCAGAGGGGAGACACACTCCCAAAATCTCCCCTTCCTCCCAGGGAAGCAAAAAGGAAAGGAAAAAAAAAAGAAAGGAAAAAAAAAGTATAATGGATTGGCTTTAGAGTCTCCCTGCTGAGATGAACAACTTGATCCACTTACAGTTCCAAACACATGATGCATGAAAGAACTGACAGAAATTCAATTCTTGCACAGCAGAGCAGCTGCTCTCTAGTGGTCAAAGCCAACTCTGGAACAGTGTGAAGGGAGAGACCTGGAGGGGAAAACTGCCCCATCCAGGTACCTGAAACAATGCAGAGAGCCCGGGCTGACAGAAACCCTCATCCCAAACATTAATTACACAGCGCACCACGACTCGAGTTAAAGCTTTGTTGTGAAAAATATTAATCCCAGCTGTATTTATATGGCACTTGTGAAAAAAACTACCCCACGTACGCTACTGGTGAGCCCTGCCAGTTAATTGAATTTGCTGGCAGCACTTCCTCTGCTCTGCTCTAAACATCCTCCCAGATAAAATGAAGCTTTTAAATAGACCTGTGGAAAACTGAATCAAGAAATTTAAACTAATAAAACACAACTCTCTACTGTTATAAAAGTGAAGTAAAAGTAAATAATGAAAGGAAGGAAGTCTCTTAAAATTTATTACATTCCAAAGCTTGAAGTTCTGTGTTTATTGCAGGAGTCTCTTCTGATGTTCTACAGTGCACCCACAACAGCTCCTTTAATGAAGTCTCATAAAATCTAATATAATACTTGATTGTTGACAAATCATATACATGTTTGAGGCCCCGTGCTCACCGTATCCAGACATTTCTTACATAATTCCATGAAATTTACAGGTCTGTCATTCCTGGGTTGTGGATAATGGCACGAGCGGTGACCAGCTGGCAGATTTGGATGCTGGGAGTGAAATCAAAACGAAAAACTATATAAAGCCAGAAAAATTCGTGGAAGCAACTTTTATAGGCTGAATGCTTGGTTAAAGCCAAATTGCTCCCAATCAAGATGGCCCTTTGCCTTCCTCCTGAGCTCCCTGTTCCTGCAGGATGGATCCCACTGTGGATCCCAGGGGAATGCTGGGGGGTCACTGCAGGAGGCACTGGGCATTCACCATCCCTGGAGCTGCTCCTCAGACACACCAGCTTAGACTGAGCTCCCTGACTACCAATTTTCTTTCCTAACTGCACATAGAAAGGTTCAGATCTCCCTGTCAGCACAATATTTCCATGGAGCAAAAGAAATCCAGATCTTCCCTGCCATGTTCTCCTAAACATTCATCCTCTGCCCTAAAAACGGCTTCTTACACTCACACACACTTCTCTGCTCTTCCCCCTCAGCTTCTTTAGTGGAGATGATTCCAGCAGCAAGTGTGATGGCTTCGTGTCCCATCAAAGGGAAACGTCCCATTAAAGGGAAAGATCAAGTATTTATGCAACATTTCTATCAAGTTATTGAAGAAAGCAAATAATTTACCAAGAAAAAGTGCAGGTGAGAAAGAAATTAAATTCTGAATTCTAGCAGTGCGTGAAGTGAAGATGTAGGAATCCATTTCACACCATATCACAGGATATGAAATGTAAGAAGTTCTTCAAAGCTCACCTGGAAGCAGTCACAGGAACAAGCCCACCCAGTTTCATTTGGAAACAAAAGTTATCTAACAATAATAGGATTTCTAGCTCCCGTGAGAATTGGCTAATCTTCATTAGGAGGCTTCAAAGCATGTCTGCAAATGTTCAAACAGACACTCCTGAACACTTGAGGGAAGAACTGAGGAGCAGCATTTGGCTCCATCTCTCCACACGTACCACATCATTGGGGAGGCTCTGCAGGTCATCGAAAGGCGTTTCCAGTGTGTTGGTGTCCACGTTCAGAATCACCACATCCTCCAGGGCCATGCTTCGGACCTTCTACATGGGAGCAGAGCCAGGAAAAGGGAAGGACAATGTCAGTATGAGGAGCTGGTTAAATTTGATGCAGAACATCATGGCATTACAGCACTTCAAGCATTTTAAAAACAACCAACATTCCTGACTTTGCCATCATTTGTTTTACTCATTTGACAATGCTGAAAAATTAACCTTCAGTTGGCAGAGGGGAGTTCTTAACACCATGCACACTGAAATGTTTCAAACCAGAGAGCTTGGGGTTATTCAAGCAAAGATTTATTTCAAGCACCTCTACTAATGTTTGTCTTAACTCTGGTTCCTGTTTGCACATTTAGCAGTCTCCAGCTGAGTCAGGATTTCAAGCACAGCTTTTCATATTTAGAAATTCATTTAAATAACAATAAAGAATGTCTTTTCTAGGAGTTAAGAGTTGTAGTAAGTTAGGGATGGGAAGTGGTTTCCAAATTCCAGGTTGAATTTTGGAACTCCAATAGAGACAAGTTTACAACTACATTTAAGTAAAATGGATACCACCAGAGGTTAATTAATTCCACCATATCCTGGTCAGCAAGTCTGAACTTTTTCTCCTGTTCCCATGAACTGAGGGAAAGAAAAGTCTCTAATCTAGTTTGAGGGTTAACATCATCTGTAACAGTCCGTGGACACAGAAGAGAAAAGCAGAACCTACTTCTCAAAAGAAGGATCATTAATACCTGTAAGTGTCTAAAGGTATCGGTGATCTAAGCAAATTTAAACACTGTCAGACTTGATTTCCCTGCTTAAACAACAGCAAATGAATCACTGATACCAAACAGAGCAGCATTTAAATGCTTAACACTTCTTCTACTAACAGGAGAACTGGATCTTTTTTTCTGACTGAGCCCACAGGTTTAAGGTCTCTTCAAATAAAGCTTTGAAAATTCAAAATCAGACAAAGTGGAATTATAGAATATGGTAATTGAGGCAATTTCCCAGTGACACTGTAAATAAACATTTAAGTACCTATATACCTACACACACAACCAAATGCAAGTTACTGGGGAGGAAAGTGAACAAAAACATACTCAATTTTTAATTAAGGTTTTGTGGGGTGGGGGGAATTGTTTCCCTTAAAAGAAAGGAACTAAAGTCCTAAAACAATGGCAAAGTTGAGCCTTAGGCAGCTAAATAATTACCCTCAGTTTTCAAGGCTCAGTCCTCTGTCTATAAAGCAAACTGCTGTGTACTTAGGGCTAAAAAAAAACAACCACCATAAAAACCACTTTGTAGACATTTAAGTTTAGGTCTTCATGAGACATTTCTTCAGCTTAAGCAGAAGAATATTACATTTAATGCTTTCCATATAAAAGGCACCAGTACTGCAGGACAAACCAGGCACTTTGCCTTTCAGGAACCAAAGGTCACTCCGTTGGCTGCATCTGATAAACTCTAAAGCAATCCAGGAGCCTTGCTCCTTCTAGGAGTCCGGAAGCACCAGACAAACTGATTTGCTCCTTCCTGTTTCAGAAAATTAAAAATCTCACTTATACTCAGAGGAGTCTAAAAACCTCCAACAAAAAGGCCTTGCAAAGTACTTAACCAAAGCCAGAAGCTTGTCAAATTCGAGTGCTGGCAGGACAAGACAGGAGGAATTCAAACCTCCTCCTGATTCCTGCCCAAGAAGCAGCACACGCGTGGTGAACGTGCCAGGGGGGGTTTGTAACTCTGGGGATGAATCTGTACCTTCCCTTCAGCTGAATTTGGGGCTTTCTGAGCACAGAACAGGCTTGTGACACATGGATCAGCCAGGGAGCACAGCTCAGGGGGATGCAGCTCATGCTGCAGGGACTGCAAATGCTGCTGGTTGGATCATCCCCCACAGGACCCAGAATAACTGTACTGAAACAGGGCTGATCCTAAACTCTGCTCTGCTGCACCTCTGCACCACAGAGAGCTCAGCCTTGCTTTAAAACTCCTCAATATTTGTACCAAGGCAGTGGATTTCCCTCGAGACAAACCCTCAGATTTAATAAAACACCAGAGACTAACTTGATTAATAGCATCTGTCTCGCAATGCATTTGAAAACAAGCAATTTTTTGAGGGTACAATTGTGGCTCATCCTAGAGAAACGCAGACTGACCAGTTCACCTTAATCCTTAGCTGGTTTTATCATCTCTCCTTTTACTATCATCTTTGATAAAAGTATTATCAGACAGTTATAAGGGCTTTTGTCAAATAATCACACGCTTCTTTCGCTAAACGTGGCACCCATCAGCCCAACTGACAGGGAAATAACAGTATGTACTCTCAGGTTGGAATCTGAGTAAAAATTCCCATCATTCAGCTGCATTTCTCACATTAAATCCCACTGGACTCCATGAATCACAGCAACATGTAGATCATTTTTCACAAGTACAGTTTGTGTGTTGTCACAATTTTCTGGAAATTTGAAGGGACAGCCACAAGCCACACACGGCCCCCATCCATATTCCACAGCTTCCTGGAGAGCCAAACAAAATTTTACAAGTAAAGTGATACCTGTTCAACAGACTGGACTGTGTCCAGCATGTTTATATTTTGCTGAAAAAAACGTGGAAAAGCAAAGACCAAGAGGAAATGTGACCATTAGAGTTTCCTACAGACCAGGGGTGTGCTGAGCCAAAAGGAGAGATTCAGTGAAAACGTGCATCACATCTCACTCCTGCAAACCTCTCTTAACCATCCCTGCCCAATTACTTGTAGCCATAATTAATCATCTAAAATCCATCTAAATCAAACTAACATCTACACCTGCCTTTTATTTTAAATGTCTCTTTTTAAAAGAGTGGAGAGGTATGGAAAGCTGGTTTAACAAGCACGCTGAACCCATTGTTTATGGCCTCTATAAACATGGCTTAGTAAGAATTACTGACTTAATCAGAGAGAACTTATCTCCTGGTGAAAAGAGCACTTTAAATTTCAGAAATGGCACCTTTACTGTGAAAATCTCTTAACTTTTCAAACAAACTCCAGGGGGCCTTAAACACCAGGTCCGTAAATAAGCGCAGTCAGGGCGCCCGTCCCGCTCCCAGGCAGCCAAACACTTGAAGTCATTTAAGTGTTTTATGTGAAAGTTCACAAAACCAGAGAAACTATCTTCTAATAGAAGTATCAAGGGGTGCTCCTCTGTCTCGCCCCCATCACATGCTACCAGCAATATTCATCAATAATACCAACACCAGTTCGCACTAGATGTTATTTTATCACCACTGGCTACAGTTGGCGGGTTTTGCATTTTCTACCATAAAAAATCCCCAGTTAAACTTCTTTCAGGTGAACAATTTTATTGAATAGTTCAATTAAAAAAAAACCCAAAACACAAAACCAAAAAACCCACAACAACCAAACACCACCACTACCCTCCTCCCCTCAAAACCCAGGTTTGTGTCACTTCATGGCCAAATTGGTGCCAAAACACAAACCAAGCTGATCATGAGGCTTCATAACCAGATACAAAAGTGATCAACATATTAAAGAATGTTGTAACTGTAAAGAGGTAACACACCTTCCACCAGTTCTTTTGGAAAGGCAACGCTGTTAACAAAAAACTAACATTCTAGCTTGCTTGTGCATTAGATTTGAAATTATTGTAAAAGCATGATTCACAAGAAGCCTAAAATCCATTTGCTTAATGACTTGTCTGTCCTCAGTTAATAGTTTCCATTTCTTTTCCTAAGGAAAACACCCCAATGCTGCAGACAACAGAGTGTCAATCTGGCTGCCAGAAGCAGGAAAGGCAGCGGATATAAAATTTTATTATTTCATGCCCCAACAGCAGCCAGAAGGACTTAATGAAACCCTGCTCAGATTTACAACCTGAAATGGCTATTCAGCAGACAGCTCTGGGTAAGGGGATGTGCCCCCTGACCCCGGGGCCCTTTGATCCGGGCACAGCAGGTGGGCTCCCACCCCCCTGCCCATCTCCCACCTTCCGCCCGGGCACCCTGAGCCTGCACAGGTGATTCCCAGATCCTTATCACCAGCAGCTGCTGCCAACTGAGTGACAAACAGCACCAGGGCTGGACAGAGAGAACCTTCCTTCTGCCTGGAGCTGCAGGGCTTGGCCTTCCTGAGCACTGCCCCTCCAACCCCCCCCACTGCAGCTCTGATTCACAGTTGTTATTTCCATTTGTCCAATAACTGGATAAAGGAGAACTCCATAAATAATCTGCCATATTTTAAAATGCATTTTTTTCAGTACTCCTGAAACCATGCACAGTGATATTGGTAGTATTTGTGAGTGACTAAACTGCATTTGGGGTTTTAAGGCCTGGATTTAAGTGTATCTATAACCCCTTCATTTAAACCCTGTGGAAAAGCTGCACTTCCTCACTCACAGGTAGAAAGGCATTGATTTACTAAGAATAAACGGTGGAAAAAGCTAATTACTACTTCTCACCCCAATCAAAAAATATAATTAACAATTAACACCACCAGTGGCAGATCCCAGTGGTCAGTGAATTCTCAGGGTGTGTTCTGAGGGGGGGACCCCGTGGTAGGGCCAGGGCTGAGCCCAGACTGACAGAACTCGTGCTCAGGGCTCGTTAGCTCAGCCTCACACACACTAATTGGGCTCTGACTGGATCCCAAACAGAGCATCCTCACACCTCCCTGAGCCAGAGCAGGGAAATGTGCCAAAAAGCCCTTCCCAAATGACTGTTTGGGGTTCAGAGGGCCCAGCTTTCCACTGACGTGGCTGCACAAGGGAGAGAGAATCAACACACCAGGTGAGAGCAGCCACCCTGTCCCACCATGTGGAACACTGCAGGAATTTTAGTGAACCTGTCTTTCCTAACAGGAACATCTTTACTGACACCAGGTTAAAATAAAACCCTGCTCCTATTGCTTTTATGATATACAGAGCTGTCCTCTTTGCTTAGGAAAAAGGTCAGGAAACCATTCTGAGCTGCAATGGGAGTTTCACACACACATTCATGCTGGACAACCTTGGAAGAGTTGCAGTTCTGGAGACCCAGAAAAAGCCCTTGAATGACTGGAATATTAACAAAAAAAGGTAAGAAATGCTTTTCTAATCCTTAACTGTAAATGCTGGGTCTGTGGCCCACACGGGGCAGGAAGAGGGATGGCTGATCCTGGCACAGTTCGGCTGCCAGAGCTCCCCATCTCCCAGCCCAACACAACCATCCCCACAGTCAATCAAAACCACATGTGCCCAAATTCCAGCAGGGAGTCCCCGGGGTCAAGGGCATTCCTCCTCCATCAGCACCATCCCACTAATAACCTTCCTACAGAAACAGTTGCTGAAACCATCGTTTACTCTGACAAAACATAACGGGCTGCAGCCAGGTTTGACACCACTTCCAACACAAAGCTCAATTTAATAGAATTTGAAGACTAAAATAACCTACAGTACAGAGAGAGAAACCAACATTATGGGAGGGGTGTGTTCTTTTGATAGAGGTTCATTTTCCTATCTCATTATTTATCACTGCTAAGTACTTATCTTCCTCTAATATGAATTCAATTAGTTCTGTAAGCATGTTCCATTATTCATGTGATAGCTCCAGCCTTGCTTATCCAACAGCTTATAAACTTTTAGCCTTCTTTGAAGTCACTTTATGGATTGCTAAATGGAAATCTTATAAAGAATGACTAACTAGGTGATGATAGAAAAGCTGAAAAATAAGAGCACAAAACACAGCTCTGTATTTTCTACCAAGGTTTTCCCCCATAAATCAGTTGGAGCCCTCTGACCTATAACAGGAGATTATCTTATCTCACTGGAGAACATTTCAGTCACAGCAAATTAGATTTAACAGTCAATGGATATGCTTGATATTTTAATCATAAGAAAAATTTGTCATTTTCCATTAAAACAACTGCTCCTTCCACAGAGCCCCTGTGGAACACGGGAAACTGCAAACTAACTTTAGGGTACAAAACAGGTTGGGAAAACCCACTGAGCTGAGAGGGGTTATTTTCTTTAAAATCACTGACATTTTTGCTTCTTCCAGAGGCCCCATTCCAACACTGGGACAGCAAAACCCACAGAAACAACACTGAAGGTAGAACATGATTTTTTCCTGTATGCAAATCCCTTCTCCCCTTCACAGCACAGCTCTCCCTGTGCAAGCCTAGGCTGCCACCAACATTTACACCACGAGGACAGTCCTACAGTGGGAGCTGCTGGGCAGAGCCTGAGCCCAGACAACCCTGGAGTCACCCCCTGGGCTCTGCACAGGTACAGGGCCCACCTGCCTCAGCTGGAATGGAAGGCTGGGGAATTAACCCCTTATCCTGACACTGGAACACGTGGATTTACTCAGAACACTTTTAAAGTCCTATTTGCTGAAATTTCAGCATTTTAAAAAAAAAATGAATACTGAATAATGGCAGTAGTTTGTAGTTCTAGTTTATAAAATTATTTTGATATGGAAGAGATAATATATTTTTAAAAATACAAAACTGCTATATCATGAGAAAAAAATTGCTGTTGCTACTAGGATGTTATTCTAACAAATAAACCACAGAATTTTATATCTACATGTGAAGGAAGGGACAAAGACAGTGAGCCTTGAGCATCAGAAACAGGCAGAGAGGTAACCCAGGAACTGTCCAGCTCACGTGCCAAAAATCACCCCTCCTTTGCCCAGGGCACAGAAATTCTGCAGCACTTGCCAGCAGCCAGATCCAAGAGCCACTGTGGGGTTTGATGTTATTTTCTGATGGAACAAGCAGAGTTACTGCAGGATACAGTTCTATCTGTATTCAATTTATCCCTAAGAGCAGAGCAAACAGTTTGGTTTATTTATTTCATTTATTTGATAGGGCACTTGGAATAACTGTACTTTGCCAAAGCGTGTCTGTGTTCCAGAATCTCTGGCTATTCAGCAGCCAGACTGGATTTAGTACTAAACAGATTTTTTCACAAGTTACTAAAATGGATGAAAATTGGCTTCTCCAAGAACAACTCCTTTTTCTGAGTTTGTACAGATGGAGTTTGGAAGGCCCACAGAGCCCTGCAGTCTGAAACACAGAGACAAAGGAGGAGGTACTGGGTTTGTGGAGCAAGGCAGGAGTGAGACATCACACAGAGTGACTCTGAGGTGGAATTCTTCATTGTTTTCCTGCATCCATTCCCAGGCCAACCACAGGCTCGTTGTGAGCACAGGTACCTGTGAGAGCTGACAGTGTCTGCATGGAGATGTTACCCACCCTCTGCCAGGGCTGCTCCTTCCTTCACAGGACCACAAGAACCACACCAGTGATGGCCTGGCACAGACATGGGGCAGGAAGGTTCCTGATCAATATGAAAAATACATTTCTTCCTAGATATCACCTCGCTCCTGCCTGTGCAGTATCCAAGGGGCATCCCTGATCACAAGCATATGATGTGCAAACAAATGTATGTGCTGCCTTTAAAATAATTGGTAACTAACTACCACATCCTACTGCAATTCTGTACTTTATTTAGCAATATAAAGGGCATTAAAAAAATCATCTGTGCCCAGGATGGTAAGGAAAAGAAAAAAGACATTCTGCACATTCAATCTTCTCATGAAAAAACTGACTTCTAAAATTACTTCACGTTAATGCTGGGAAAGGGGGGAGTTCCACAGCATCATTATTACACACATCTGCCCCAGTGCAAGAATATTTGATCAGTATTTCCAGAGAAATGACACAACACAAGAACAATTATCCCAGTAATTCATGTTCCTTTATGTGATGTAAACCCAGCTTTCCAAACTGTTCTGCATCCTGAACACAAGGGCTGAATTTCCGGGGATCTAAAACAGGGACACAAGTCAAATAACTTCCCAGGGCACGTGCAGCTCCCACCAGTCCACCCCTGCTAATTTAGGAGCCCCCAGGAGGCAGGAACTGCCTCTTGCCCCCCGGAGCACACCCTCCTGGTTCAGGCTTCCCGTGCAAGGGGCTCAGCCAACACGGACGAGCGTTTCCACCGGGACCTGCAGGAGCAGTTTGTGTTGTCCCCCAGATACTGCTGAGGAAAGTCATCCACTGTTTCACCAGTCAAAAGCAAATGTGTTATTTCCACTTTTAGAGTTTTTAAAAAGTCACATGAAGTACTGGGAATTGTTTATAGGAGAAGCTTTCTGTGAGGGCTGGTTCCCTGCCAGCTTTGTGTTAACATTAACAGCAAGTTCCTTCTTTTCAGATCTTTCGAACATTAAAAAAATTACAATCTGTCTGCAAAAGCCTAAAAGAGAACTGTAACTGTCAACATTGTGGTTTAATATCGACTCTGCCTTCATGATTCAGTCAAAGCAAGGCACTGAAGGGACTAAGTGGAGCCCCAGGATGGGGAGGGGACACGTGGTGAGCTCGTCACCGCGCACAGAGGCTGCCCAGGGAGCAAACAGGGCTCCTGCAGGTTCACCATCCCCACCTGGGCTTAACTCAACTCCCTCAGCACGCCCAGAGTAACAGCATCAGTTCATTTTTAAGCATATGAATGAATGTATCATTGCTTGTGGAATTTGGCTCTAAATCATTACACTACATTACAGTTTCAGAAACGGTGAGAGGGACTTACCTCCATCAGACTCAAGTGTATCCCAATGAGGTAGGGCATGGGGGCACTGCAGAGAAGAAAAAAAACAGCTTTACATTCCCACAACACCAGAATCACACATCAGACTTACAAAACTAGCTACAGGAAAACACTGTGACACTGGACTAGATTTTGCTTAAAAATTAATATATACATAGATATATAAACAAACCACGTGTGAACAAAATGTTATTCCTGATCTGAAAGACTGTTTTTACAATGCAATATCCTCTCGGGCCTGTAAGACTTTAATTTTTCTTGACAGAAGAATTTTCAAGTGCCTAAGTTCAGGCAGGTACCTAAGGACAGCTACTAAACATACCTCTAATAGTGGAGTCTTTTGTTAAGTAAAACAAACAAAATGCGTTACTGCAATTTTAAAAACATACCCAGAGTTTTCTAAGAGCATTCTTTCAAAAAATGCATCCTGTTGTAGTGTCAAGTGGCTAATTTAGTGTATATGCATCACCTGGTACTATAAGTTTTGAATTCTTTGAATGAGTCCAGGCACATTTTTAAGCAATTCACTTTTAAGTATAAATCTCGACAAGTTTACATTTATAAAAGAAAACACAAAAATTGCTTCTGAAGATTCTGCTAAACTCCAGAGTTCCCAGGACATACACTGATAGCAACATCCCCCTCAGAACACAAAACCTGGATACGCCCAGAGGCTCTCAGGCCACAGTTCATCCCCCAGCACAGGGTGATGCTTTTGCTGGGGACCAGAATGGAACGTTTCAGGCAGACTGGTGTGCTCGGTGTCCCTGCCTGGGGCCAGCCCAGGGACTGGGGCTCTGGGTCCAGCTTCCAACACTGAGCCATCAGAGCCATCAGGGAGGTGCCAGAGCTGCTAATTGCAAATATGGTACAACCTGCCTGCGAAACAGAGCAACACAGACAGACACAACTTCTAAAATAGAGCCTCCCTTCGCTTTGGATGCAGCAGCTCAACGAGCTCATTTTCAATTTCAGATGAAAAAATGAGAGAAATGTCACTGTGCTGCCTTGGATTAAAATATCTCCCATATTGCTGCTCTGAGCTGGTGCCTACTGCTCAGTAAGAGCAGTGCAGTGCTGAAAAAACCCCTGAGACACCAGAGCAGCAAAATTCCTGCTCCTCCTTTTCCTGGAAAATACCTTAAAAATATATATTTACTGATAAGCATATTAATATTTATGTTGTTTATTTACACACCCCCTCAAACAGCCATTCTGTTGGATGCTCCACTGAGGTGGAAGCAGCCTCTGCATTAGACATTCTATATGAGACCACTTTTTTTCCTGTTTGAAGACATTAAACCCACATAACTTCCAGAGCCCCTTCCCAGTTCCCTGGGGAACACTGGAACACATCCCTGCAGGAACTGCACGAGAACCCCCTGCCCTGCAGCCCCTTGTGACAAAGCCCAGAGGGGCTGGTACAGCACAGACCCCGAACCTTCTGATTCCTTGGGAATTCCACGGGTGAGAAGCACAGCACCCCCCCAAGCCCTTGGACAGGAATTCCCACCACACACCAGGACACTGCCCCGGGACACGAGGAGCACTCAGCTGAGCAGAGCTCTGCTGGTCACTTTGCACGCTTGGTCTGTGGCAAACACCATCTCTTCACTTCCAGTGGCCACAGTCCAGGAGCAAGAAAATTCCCAGGAATCTTATACCCGAGGAACAAGGCTGGGTTTGGCTGCACCGCGTCCCGTGGGCTCTGCTGCCGCGGCTCCTCCCGCACCCACACCAATGTGGTTCCAATTAGGAACCTCCAGGAGCTCGGCAGCTCCCATCCCCTGAACGCAGAGTCGGAACCTCGGCAGGAAGTCTAAAGCCTGCAAATGTCTCAGCTAGTGGAGGCTTGGCAGCTGTAATGGAAGGAAGCAGGAGGAGTGCAGGACTCCACCAAACCGGCCGGGCAGTGACGTCTCTGGCGCAGAGTCTGTCACCCAGCACAGCAACATCCGAGCCCGGGCAAGGGCTCTAACTGCATCACACCCATTTGTGAATCCTCCAGTTTATCAACAAAAGAACAACAAGAATGTCTAAACCTTAAAACCAGGCACCTCCAGTAGGATTTTAATGAATTACAGACAAGATCTGGCTCCAGATACATGGATCAGCTTTGGATGCAAATTGTGGAGTGACAGACATTACATGTAAAGGCAGCACAGCACATAAAACAATTACAGGGACTGCAAAAATAACCTCAATAAAATATAATCTGGTAAAGAGCATAAATATTTCCAATAAAATCTACCAGGGAGATTCTATTCTTCTGTCATCCCTCATCGATCTGACTGAAAAGGAAACACACCTGGAAGTAAATGTTGAAGGTTCATGTCAGGCTTCATAAGTTGCTTTTATCACCATTTCTCTTTGCCATGAGTTAATCATGTGCCATTATTTAAATACCCTGTCACCATCCTGTGCAGGGGAAGGTGGTGTGTGTCCCCTTCCCCACTCAGGGCACACACAGATAGTTCTTCCTCACTGAGATTCACGTCCTGAGACACGGAACACTCACGCAGCTTTTAATATTTTATCAGGTTAGATGGTACTTCCAAGACTTTCAAGGGAAGTTCAGTGAGACACATCCCTTGTACAAAGGGAGAAACACCCGGCACGAGCTTTAATCCTTCGGGGAGCCCCGGCAGATTAAAGGCTGCCCTTCGGGCCAGGCCTTCCCACTGCCCGACACTTCATCAGTCCTGGGCCTTCTTACAGCCACAGCTCCTAATGACTGCGGGTTGTTTGCTGGCAGCCCACAGCCATTAAGTGCCAAAGGCAGAAGCATCAATTCCTGCCCCGTCTCTGCTGCTCAAACAAAGTGCCTGCGAGAGCCCCTGGAACAAAGAGAGGGGTCGTTCCTGCTCCGAGCTGCTTCCCAAGGCAATCAGCCTTATTTACAGTCACAGGAGCTACAGAGGTAAATATCCAATCAGTAAAGTGGCACTGCCCAAGCATGAATATGGATTTTGGGGACATAATGGCTGTAGAGTGCCCATTTATTACAGTTACATTTTTTACAATTTCTTTAATTCGTTTCCTTAGGCAAACGAGAGACCTCTTAATTATGCTCCCACGAGGTGGGAAACTGCTAATTGGAAGAGAAGCAGGTGAAACAGAGGGACATTCCTTCTTAAGTGAAAAAGCCCAGCCTTAAAAAATACTGCAATTCACCAAAAACAGTAACGTAAAAGCCCGGGGATCTCCAAAAGCTTCCTATTTACAGCTACACAGGGACTGCACCATTTTGCTTCCTTGTTCCAGGAAAATGGGTGAGATCACATTCACTAAGTCCATGTCTTGATATTCAAACACTGACCTAAGGGGTGGCTCTCTCCCACCACTGGTACCTCCCTCTCCAGGGCAGTCTCCTGATTTCTCCTGAGATCTCTCACTGAAATGCGACAGAATTCAACCCCAAATTTATTGGGGTGCCTGATACAAGTCAGAAACTTGACTGCATAAATTGGAATGATGCAGAGAACACACAGGCACAGAGCAGGAGAGCAGGTCCCAGAGCCTTCAGGGAGTGCCCGGGTGTGCCAGGCAGTGGCAGTGCCACCCAGAGCCCCCCAGGCTGCAATCTGTGCATCCAGTGACAGTGTCACCACCAGTTTCTAGTCTCCTCCCCCCAGAATCTTTCCCCAGGCTGAAAACATATCAAAGAATGGTGCCTAACCAAAAAATAAAATTAAGGACAGCACTCCTCCTCTTGCTTCCCCTCCCACCCCCTGTCCTCAGCTAATCTGCATGGCAGGGATCAGAGGAGTGAAGTCACTCCAGAGCCATGGATGTGGTGCTGCACCCCCAGCACTGACTCAGCAGCCCCAGCACAGAGTGGGGGTATTTGGGAGCATTTTGGAGCATTTTGGAGACACAACCTTCTGGCATCAACAGTTCTGAGGGTGGGCACGTCAGGCAGCAGTGCAGGGGAACAGAAATATTAAGCTTAAGAAAATCCATTCAAGAGGGAAATGGGAAGCAAAAGGCAAATAATCACAGGTGGAATACAGTTTTTTCCAAAAACTTTCAAAGATCACGAGTGACACAGTCTATCCACCCTTCTGTGAGTTTCAAAAGAGCAGGAGAAGATTCAAAAGCATCACAGCACAGTCAGTAAAAGGGCACAGCCAACTGATCAACATGATATTCTGTATTCATAAGAACTGAAGAATTCTCATTGCTTTAAATTTTATTCCCACCTCAGGTCTCTAAAATTCTTACGTCATATTTGCAAAGGAAATAACCAGGCAACAATTAAAATTAAATTAAACTCTTCTATTTTGAAGTATCTCAGGTCATTTCCCTTAAGAGACAGACACCAGTAAGCAGAAATATTGCCTTAAAGCAGAGAGCAGGGAGCTGATTGCTCAGTCCTCCCAGGCAAAAATGACATCTGCAAGTTCACATGGTTACAAAATAGATGGACTCTATTTTGAGAAATATATTTATGGCACATAAACTGTTGCTAAATTGACTTGTTCAAACAATGACAGAGTGTGCAGCCACCTCTCCAATTAAAGCTCCTTGCTGGGGAAGGCAATCAGTTGTTGTATTTGTGAGCAGGCAATGACACCCTGCCCCACAGCCACACAGCCTGGAACCACCCTGTTCCCAGGGCCTGCTCCCAGGGCCTGCTCCCTCCTTCCCTGGCCAGGACAGAACCCATCCAGTGGGGCCCAGGGACTTGTGGCTTCCCCTCCTGGGGTCCAGTGCCCCAGGGTTTGCTTTCTGCCCTCCCAGGGCTCTGGGCTCAGCCCCTTTCCCAGGTGGATGGGTAACCAGTCTCCCAAGCCAAAGCCTCTGAAGGAGGTTTAACTCCTTGAGGAAGCCTGAGCTAAGGTCACTTATTCCCCTCAATGAGGTAAATATCATGTTCTAAACACACACTCATAATGAAAGATCACCACAGGAAAACAGGGGGGTTTTCTAATAGTTTTTTTTTTAAATAGTTTTTTTCCCACCCCCAACAGAAGTTCAGGAAAGCGGGAAAATGAGAAAAATGTATCCAGTTGGAGTCTTAATTCACATTGGAATATTTAACATGGACATGCTGAAAACAGAGTTTAATGACACAATATCTGAGTTGCAGCATTCCACAGCAACCACTCCTCCTATCAGACTGTTTCAACACACTGACAGACAGTCACTTCTTGCCATAAATATTTGTACTTACTGGTTGGTGCCTCCTTAATACACTGTATTTTTAGAGTAACAGTTGCATCATAAGAGCCCTCAGGACACCCCACAGAAAGGTGAGCACTGCTGAGTCCCAGGGGTACACACACACATCTATAACACACAGACACAAAGGTGGCCTTACCAGCAGTAGTCCAGCAGATGTGGGGGCAGAACAGGGATGTAAACGTGCTGCCAGAACATCGGGTAGAGCATGGCTGCAGAGCCATGGATGCAGGCAGTTAACTGAAAAACACACCAAAACTGCATCAGAAACAGGCCAAGCCCCAAGGCTCACACAGCAAAGTTAGACACAAAGTAAAGAATCCATTCTGCTTTCATATCAACATGTTTCACTGGAAAATACAGAGCTGCTGTTAAAAACAAGGGTCTCGGGGGTGAACACGAGGGGTTTGTGGTGGTTCCCATCCAACTGACTTTGTGAACAGCTGAGAACATGATTCACTCAACAAACAAAACCTGCAAAGAACACCCAGTGTTCTGTAAAGCAACAGAAACATGGAAATGAAAACTCAAAGGGGACTGAAGGAATAGTAGAGGCAAATCCCCAATCCTGGAAATTACCATCCATTAGATATCATAAAAATGCACTGAAATTATAACACAAATTGAAAAACACATATCACACCAAACTCAGTGATTAAATCTTGATTATTTAAAAGGGGTTTTTGTCTAATGGCTCTTCATCTAATCATTTGACCCATTGAATTTCTCAGTTATATTGTTAAAAACATGCAGAAGAGTTTTGATGTGGGCAAGTACTGAAAGAGCAAAGGCAAGTGCCAGTGAAGCCATGGGGAGAATCCTCACAGAGGAAATTACTGCTCTCAACCCTATTTCAAATAATAATTATTAATTTGGAAGAGAAGATAAGCAGGATATTTGTCACATTCACCAAGGATATTAAAATGAGAAGGTGGTAATGCTCAGTAAGGAAATTCAGCAAAAGCTGTGGAGAAAATACTGTAAGGAGAGGATCTGAACAGCCACATCCAAGCCACGGGCTCAGAGGTGACAGCAGTCACAGCCACCCTGCCCTGCTGGGCAGTGCAGTGTCCCTTCACCTGCACTCCTGCCCAGGATACCCTGAGAACCTGCTCACAGGCACTGAGGACACAGCCCAAGGGACTGAGGTCCCCGTGGTGGCCTGAAGGTGTCCGAGATGAAACCAAGCACAGACACGTCGTGGCATTAATCCTAATTCAGTCAGATGTGGAGTAACCCTTAAAAAAGATGACCCTCATTACTATTAATTTCCATTAAGAGAGAGCAGTGAATTACAGAGCTCTCAAAGGGAACCCCTGGCTGGGGAGGGAAAGGGTGGATGAGCCAGTCCAGGACCTTCAGGCTCCGTGTCACAACCAGGGACAGTTTGGGGTCTGTTCTCTGCCACAGCCCCTCTGTGCAGCCTCTGCCAGCACCAGCTCCTGGCTGTCCCACTGAATGCAGCTCACTGGGCAGGAGGGTGGGAGACAGCCCTGTATTTTATGTGTTACCCTTATGCCTCTGAACAACACAGCCAGCTTTTTACCTTCAAGAGGATCAAACTCTCCTATGACACAAAAATTTCTTCAGTACTTGGAAGAATTCAACATTCTTCAATTTCATCTGCATTTTCAAAGAGTTTTAAGATTTGAGCATGGATTTCTTCTGCAAAGATCATGCTTACTCTTCCCCAGTAGCCTCCGTTTATGCATTCACTAGTTCTAGTCCTCACTGTGACAGGTTTCAAGTTTTTTCATAAAAATGTAGCTCAAAGAGCTATAGTTTCTTCAAGGGAGAATGTTATCACACCTGACTTTCCACTCCAAAGACAAATTTCTGAAAAGAAAGTGTCATAATAAAAGAGTCCACAAAGCTCCAAAGCATCCCAGTGCTGATAACAAGTTTCCAGAAGTGAGAATATGCAAGAATTTAAACTAGATTTGAACCACCATCCCAAGGAAACTGTGCCTTTGGGAGCAGACAGGGCACAGCAAGTACCTGCTGAGTCTCTCTCAAAACAAGCTCTTTATTTGCAGGTGAAGGTTATTTAGTGGTCCATATGGGATGCAAATATTAGGATGTTGGGACACTACATTTAGAAGCTACAAAATCTAGAGTTTATTCTGGATTTATGACTCATGAAACACTAAAGATTTATCCCTACCCCCATTATATTTCAACTTATCTTTACATTATTCCTACTGGAGAAGATGCTCCTCTCTCACAGATTAGATGAAAGGCACTAATTCCACAATGCGCAGCAGGAAAAAGGGGGAATGCTTTCCCACTGCAGTTTTCCGTCTATATTCCTGAATCCTTCACCAACCACAGTGCTCAGCACTGCAGAGCTCTGAGCAGAGCCTGGCACCCCCTCTGGAGATGTCCTCCCACCCTGGGACAGGGCAGGAATTCAGGTCACACCCAACCACTGTCCTGCAGCTCTAGCCTGGGGAGGGCTCAGGGTCTGCTGGACACCTCCCCTGGTCAGGGACTGCCATCCAGGGAAGAGGGCCTTTCCAGGGAGCAGGGCCTTTCCAGGGAGCAGGGCCTTTCCAGGGAACAGGCCTTCCCAATGAGGCAGCCTGAGAAACACCCAACTGCCACAGCTCTGGGAATGCAGCACTGGAATCACATTAGTTCCACTGCCCTGGCTCAGAGCAGCTGCTGCTGGAGGGGAAAGGGGATCTCTGTGCAAGGGAGACACCAGGCACTGGGCACTCCTTGCAGTTTGACATTTAATACTCTGAAAGCCTTATCTGAGCAAATAAAATCAATGGGATTTTGTCACCCACTGATGCTGAACCACCACGGGTCATTCCCGGTGCCTGTCCCTGCTCCTGACACACACACTGCCCGGGCTCCCAGGGCAGGATGTGCCTCCCAAGGGGCAACACAAACACTGAGCAAAGACCCACCTTCTGCATGGCTGGAAGAGCTGCTTCTTTGGCATTATTTGGGGCTAAGAACAAAGCAGAAATCTGAGCTACACAAGAGTCAAGCAGTAACAGCAGGGCTGTCACAAAGGGGGGGTGAGAAGGTCCAGACCTACAGGGACAGGAACAGAGCTGGGGCACCAGAGCTGGGCAGGCTCTGAGCTCTGGGGCATCCCAGGGACATGTGGTGAATCAAACCCATCACAATGTTGTTCCATTTCCTTACCCTCAGAGCCCTGAGGCTCCTCAGACCCGCACCAGGGTGTAGGAGGATGTATCAGAGCTTTCTGTGATGTGGGAGAAGTGGCAGGGGAAGCTCAGCTCCAGAGCTTCCCTTCCTACAATGGGACACAGCCTGCTGCTGCCTCCAGCCAGGGAACACCCCTGGGGGTGGCAGGGCTGCAGTTCTGATGGAAAAGGGAATTCGGGATGCAAGGAGAGCTCCAGCCTCATTTTGCAGAAGCATGCTCCCACCAGCAGGGGGGCTGCTGCCAAGCACTGGAGGTTCATGCATTTTGGTTCGTATCTGGCCTTTCTTGAGGAGTTAGATCACAGAATATGTAAGGAAATGTAACAGCAATAATTGTTTTAACATTTGGAGAAATTATTTGCATTTCCTTTTGTAGGAAAACAGAATAAAATCCAAGAAAACACCAATAATTCTTCTATGGGTTCAGTACACATGATTTATAAAACAGCTAATAAACACAGCCTCATTCTAAATCTCATTCAACTTAAGCATGTAAGGATGTTGAAAATCAAAATCTGAATTTGAGATGACGTGTTGTAGCTCAGAATGCACCCCACCATAAAAGCCTTTCCACCCAGGATGGTTTAACTCTCCCTCTCTTACCTGATACCAAATTCAAGCCCTAAGCACAAAGTGTGTCTCCCAAAGTTAAAACAAATGAACTGCAAACAGGTCCCTTCCACTCCCTCGCTGGAGAACGGAGAACTCCAGACAAAGGAGGCAGCCCCCAGCCCCACCCACCCTGCTGCACTCGGAGGATTCTGGGTTTGGTTCCTTTCCAGTTACAAGGTCTTGGCTTCCGCTGAGCACAGTTTGAAATAAAATAATGCAGCTTGTTCCTACTGCTGGAACCCGCCGAGCAGGGAATCGCTGGCTCCGGCCCAGCCTTCAAACCTGTCTTACACTGTCACTCCAGGCTTGGAGCACTGCAGATATAAAGTTGTAAGCTAAGAACACACAGTATGAACACCCCTCCCTCCCCAGAACCAGACACGCTTTTATCTTGGACAGAGGCAAAAGGAAGAGAAATAGCAGAAAGATAGGGAAAAAAACCCAGCCCCACTTGTGAACTGGCTCATTAAGGAAGGCAAAGTGACAGGTAAGTAATTCCTCTTCCTAGGCTCTGTCACAAAGGGAGAGATTAAACCAACCAACCACACAACCTCTGAAATGCTTTGGGCAGCCCTTCTCTTCTTCCCTCCTCTCTGATCATTTGCTGTTCTTTTCATTCTGCAGGTTGCTGAAATAAACACCTCTCCTTCATTTTATTCCATTACCTGGACGGATTTTTCCTTATTTTAGCAGCGATGACACAGAACACTTGGCAGATATAGAAGTTAAGATTTTGCAAGTTTTCTACAGTTTTAAACTTCATAATGACTAAATACTTTCAGTTAAATGTGGGGTTGATTGTAAACATTATTAATAACTATTAATAGGTCCCAGAGGTTATTCTAATTCTCCTCCTTTCGCTTACCCTTCAAAATGACACTGCAGTAGTTATTCTGGGATTGGGTATGAGGCTTTACTCTCTCTCACTTCCCTGGCCTGTGCTGACAGACCACCCTACGTGGGTTTATGGACACCACTTCAGCCTTCTCGAGCATTGACAATTCCAGGGAGCAGTTTTAATCTCAGACACAAAGCAGGTCATGGCCATACAGTCAGAGCCTGGTTAATGCCGCACGAGATGGAAATGGCAGCTCTGTCTTAGGCAGGGCCACTCAAGTGCTCAGTCCACAGCACTAAAAAGCAAAATTAGTTAAACCATCCTCGTCCCTCACAAAGGACAGCAATCAATAGCCTTTTACAGAGCAAACACAACGACCACGGAGCATTTGCTTTTATAAGGAAAATCACAATCTTATTGACTGCTAAACCTTGAAATGCAGAACACCAAACTTTGAACTGAGCAGGCCTGTGCTCGTTTTGATCTCCAGCCATTTTCAGAAGAGAGCACTCCAGAATATTCAGCAGCTTTCATCTCTCAGACACTTGATGGAGCCTAAGTAGCACTAAGACTAAACCTTATCAAACACAACTGCAAAACTGTGGATTGTCAGTGTACTCCAGCCCACTCCCCTGCTCCCTCCGGAGAAGGTCACTGTGACATCCATTTGACAGTGTCATTTATCTATTTTTTTTTCCTGTCAAGTAAATTATGAAAAAAGGACTTCACTATGGCATAAGCCTTTGTACTTTCACGTACCAAACAACCCCAAAAATTCCTGTATCCAAAAAACCCTTTCTCATTTGGACATCAGAGGCCAAGAGAAGTGCTGTAAAATCCTCACACACAGGCACAGAACTGAGCTGAGGTTGCATAAGTGAGACCGAAAGGGGGACCTGGAGATAATCAGATCACTTCCAATACATGACTGCAAAAAAAACAAATTAAAGCTCCTGTGACTAGAAGAAACTCTTGTGCATTTTACTCACAGTGCTGAGCTTGCTGCAGCAGATGAGGATGCGGCGCTCGTACAGCATGCTGGCGTAGAGGTGCAGCATGTTGTTCACATCCACTGCCACAAAGTACTCTGTCAGGTTCCTCTGGGAAGAGAGAACAGGAGTTTTGATTCACCATATCACAAAATCAAGTGTCCTTAGCAAAAATAATCCAAAAAACCAAAAGGCAAACGGATTTCACTCTTCTGTTGTGCCACAATTTCACTCCTGCATTGTCACTCCATGCCCAGGCCATCCCCTCACCCTGTGCTCGTGCTGCAGGGCACAGCTTGTGGGGCAGGACTGAACAATGCAGATGTCTCCTAACAAACAGCACAATGTGATCCTGAGATCTTCACTATCAAAACCAGAAAGCCACCACAGAGGCAACTGGATCCCAGCGTGTTCTGCTCGCCTAGAACGAGGGGCTCCACAGGGCAAGGTAAAGAAAAAAGGATTTGTGTGTGGAGAGGGTATTTTCACTTCTTAAAACATAGAAATTAAAGAAAAGGGGCATTGTGGAGGAAAAGGTAATACACCCAGAAATGCTGAATTAGGGAATTTGTTTCCAAATAGCTTCTTACAGACATGAAAGGGTTGCTATATGATAAAGACAGCCTTATACAAAAAGCACATGTGAGAGCAAAATTAGATTAGTCATGAATTCAAGTGCAATCTTAATCATCCTTAAATAAAAAAGTGCAGAAAAGCAAAAAGCAAATATGATTTAGAAACTTAAAGAAGCTCAACAAAGCCTATTAGCACTTTTGACAGATCCAAGATACTTGGCCTGAGAAGTCTGCCAAGATGCTTCATACTGTGCAAAAATATGTTCCCCAGCTTGCCATCCAAACACAAAGAACTGAAGGAAAATTAAGCACTGTATTTGGGAGACTTTGGGACCAGGATGTAGGGAGATAAAAACTGGGTTCATTATGGTTGGCTTCAAATATGTACAATAAAACAACCACCCAGGCCTTTGTTACAGCAAAGCTGGAGCCACAGACAGGTACAGTCAAAGGAGAAAAAAAAAAGCCAACACGTTTTGCCAAAAACCTATTAAACTATCATGTACTTTTTCTGTATTTCTCATCCCATCTGTGCTGATTGACATGATATTTTTGTCTAAACATAAGCTGTCTTCTCTACGGCTCCTCTTCCCCCTCTCACCCAGCCTTCCCCGACGCCAAAACACGGCGCGTGACGACACAGCTCCTGCACACTGGGGGAATTAAAACCATTTTTAAGGAGCCCTGAACTTTTGCTGCCACCCAAATCAGGGGCACGGCAGAAGGAGCACACAGCCCCTGCATCCTGCCTGGGGAGGATCTCTGCTCCACAGGGATGTGTGTGTGAGGCACCAGCACCCACTGCGAGAGGAAAACAGACGTGGGACTGGACTCGCGATTGTTCCTCCACCGAGTGCACTGCGGTGGAATGACACACAAATGTACCTTCAGATGGGAAGATTTGTGAGGTTTGAGTCCTGTCTGCTCTCAGAGATTTGCCAAGGACACCTGGGAAGCATGTGGGCTGCATGGAAATGTATTGGTACTGAGGAGCTCACGTGTTCCCCGGGAGCCGTATTTATGAGAAAGCTGTCAGCTCTGAAGCTCAAATTGGGCCTTACACATGTATTTTGAAAGACATGTCTCGTAAGTGACAAAACCATGAATGAGTTAAATAAATACAAATGAAAGCGTTCCAATTTGCAGGATAATGGTTGGGTATTTTGTTTCCTAGGACTTAAACCTTCCTTGGGGCAGGAAAAAGTGGGGTTTTCAGACCAGATACAGGAACAGGTATCCCCACTCCTCAAAATTCACCAAGAGTGCCACAAAACTCCCTCATGCTCCTTTGGAAGTTCGTTCCTAGATCAATCATCCATTTGATCATTTGCTATCTAATATCAATAAATGCACACTGAGTTTTGAGATTAAAAATCACAGACTTCTCTTCCACCATCATCTACTGAGGAAAAGGGACTCAGTGATACAAAAATACCCCAGAGTATGATCACCAGGAAAATGTCACCATTTCAGCCTGTTAATATACCTGATACTTCTGAAACACAACAGCTGCTCCCAGGAAACTTAGTCTTGCCCTGCATTTCCTGCAGCGACCCCGATCCATTTCTGAAGCCACAATGCATTTACATGTCCCTCACATGAAACTCATTAAACACAGGGATCTGACACCAAGTCAGATAATTCCAAGAGCCTTGTTAACATTCCAAACAGAGCTCTGTGCAGCTCTCCATTCGTCATTGCATCCAACTTCAAGGTTTGGCACTACTAAAACTTCTGCTAAATATGGGGTTCAAAACATAATCACTGATAAGAGATGTCGAATTTTGAATAAATCAAGTCCATTGATTAAAATACATGAAGACTTAGGCTCCTTTAATGTCCTTGTATTATCAGGTTTTAATTCCACATGAAAGCAGCATTAACACCCAGATAAAAACCTCCTAAGAAACTATACAATATTCATTAGGTAAATATAAACATGAGAAATGCCTGAGAAATAGCAGAGAGTCAACTGCAGCTTCAGTTAGACCAGTGCACTTGATTTGTAGGATTTTGCTTTCTTACAATGAGCCCCAACCCTTCTAATCTGGGCAGGGACACAGACACACGTGTTGGCTCACGGGTCTGTCACCCCAATGAAATGTCCCTCTCCTGTTCCCAGGGGGGCCCTGGCTGTCCCCAGACCCTGCCCAGCCCACCTTGGCAGGGACAGCAGGACACCTGATAGCACCAGGCATCTCCAAGGCCCATCAGTGACTCTGTGAGTTAGGGCAGGATTTGATAGCTGGTTTAGATTCAGGAACTGATTCTTGAATTACACCAGTGTATTTGTATTTGTACAAAAATAAAGCACTTCAGAAGAAAGAGCTCATCTACTAAATTCACTGACAGGATCCGTGTCAGTAGAAGAGTCTGCAACACAGAGAAGCCATCAGCAGTGTTTTGAAAGAGAAACAAACAGCCCCAAATGCTATCTGCTATACAAATCATCCCCAAATGAGATGAAATGTCTTGATGATGCCTTCCCTTTCTTTCATGTCTCAGCTGAGGTATTTGATGCTCAGACCGACCACACAATGCTCCAGGAAGAAAACTGGGATGTCAGGCACAGGAATTTGGCTGAGACACAGAGGGAGCACATTAAAGAGCACTGAGGAGAGGCAAATGCCAGCACTGTGTTCCCCCAGCCCCTGGCTGGAGAGCCCAGCCCTGCTGGAACACCTCAGACTTCGTGAGGCTCCAGCAGTCTCCAGAGAAGTGGCTCTGAGGAGATCAGACGTGTGTGACATTTTCAGAAGCCAAACAGGTTGTTTTCCCTGGTCATCCTTCCCGAGGGGTCCCAGTGCAGGATCAGCAGATCTGCTGTTTCTGCCCATTTCCACATGGCCATTAGTACTTTGTCCTTCATGCAATTCAGCTTTTAATCACACATTGCCAGCTCCTAAAGCTCAGTATTCCACAGGATATAATCCATGACTACCAAACTAACACGTGTTATCTATGTTGCTGTGACATTAAATAGAAGCAGTAAAGTGCAGGGTCCTCTCAAAATACTCACATTTTCAGGTATACTGGGAAGCTCTCTGGTGTCAGGCACAGTAAAGTAGGAGTGCTACAAAAAGAGCAGATATTGATTATTGCAATTCAGTGCCTCACGATCAGTCCATAACCTGAAACAGCAAGTGGGTCCAACAGCCACACTGAACACAGACACTATAAACACCATTTCTGCTTCTGACGTGTCACTGGTTTGGTCTGGTTGCAAAGATGCAATGCAGGAACAGCACACAGAGCTGTGTCACATGGAGGAACCTCACCCTGACCCCGAAACAGGCTCAGAAACAGCCAAAATAAAATGCAGGAACACACCACAGCTCACAGTCCCTGGGCTGCCTTTTTATATCCTTTCTTGCTTCACTGCCCATGAAATGTCTGAGACAAGGGGAGACCAGCAGCATTCCTTGGAACCACTGGTATGAAAAAAACGGAATATCCCAACTGATCCCAGCCTTGGGAGATGGCTCCTTGTCACTCATCCTCTGAACAGAAATGCTGCTCACACAGAGGGAGCCCTGAGGGGACAGGGACAGCCCAGGGCCAGCTGGGGACCAGCAGGGCCACACCACTGCTCCTGTCCAGGAGAGGGGAGCAGGGGCAGCTCCTGCTGCCAGGCAGTCCTGTGGGAGCAGGAGCAGAGGAGATGTGAGGAGGGGAGTGTCCCTGTGAACTCCCCACAGGCAGGGGCAGCAACAGGCTCTGCAGGATGTCACCGTGCCTGGGACACAGGGGTGTGCTGCAAAAGGGAGTCTGAGCACAAAAACCCCAAAAGACTAAATGCAAAGTGCAATCCCATCAACAAAATCCCAAATCTGTTCTGTTGGTGTGCTTTGCTTAATTTTCTCACAAGATATAAAAATGAAATAAATTCTTTTTCATATGAGTTTTTTTGAGGGAGGGGGGAAGAGGAGAAGGAACCAGTAAATGTGATAAACAATGAATACTGCAAAGGCTGCTGTGACAGGCATGTGACTGTTTCCCCCCCAGCCCTGTCCCCTTGCAGGGCCCAGGAGCTGTGCAGGAGTGTGGGCAATAAATGTCCTGGTGCTGCTCTGTGAGCTCCCCCAGGTCACAAGGGATGGCAGAGATCTCCATGGGCAACACACACAACCTCCCTCCAACCAGAGAACAGCATTTCAGAGACATCTGAGGTTAGGGAGAGGCAAACAGAGGGCCCCGAATGTGAAAAGGGGAATTTCACAGCTCTGTGTCCTCACAGGGAAACAACATCTGTGTACAAGCTCCAGGACAGAGAATTGCTGTTGACATTCCTCTGTTATGACACGGAATGAATATTAAGCACCTTAGTTTCCATCTCCCCCCTTCACTTACCACTCCGAGGTGAACAGAGGTTCCTGGCTCAGGGATGGTGAGTTTATGAAATGTTTCTAGGAGCTCACTCCTTTGACTATCCTGAAATAAGGAGGAAAAAAAAAGGAATGCTAAGTAGGCATTGGTGCAACCGGGTTAACTCCAGGGCAGAAGGGCCAGATGATGCCAGGTGGGTAAACCTGGCATTAGTAGGGTTAGTTCCACACCTCCTGCACCCGACAATAACCTTGGATCAGCCCCTGTCACAATGTGGGATTACAGGACTGCTGAGCACAGGGTAGGGGTCAGCCCAGCATGGGCCACTGCAGGAACCCAGGGATTGTGGTGGAGCCACAGCCACACCCTGGGGCTTCATCTTTTCCCAAAAAGAATTTAAACGCATATTTATTTTTCAGAGGCGCTTCCCAAGTTGAATATGACCTTCTATGTCACTGCATCATAGGGATCAATAATTCACATGGTCAGCTCTCATAGAAGCACCTCTTCAACCAGCTCGTTTCATCCTCTCGCCCCCATCTGATATTGGGCAGGGAAAAGGAGGGTCAGTATTTCAGAATAATACCTGTCCTTTTGCTGAATAATCTGCCAAGACATTGAGCAGCTTATAAAAGACTTCAAACCACGGGAGGTAACTGGAAAAAAGAAAAAAAGAAAAAGCATACATTTAACTTGCTAAATCTCAGTTAATAAATCCAGGATCACCAGCCCTTATGCTACAGATGCATCCCAACGTGATGCTGCATAATTATCTGTCAGGAAAGCCACAGCAGACTTGCACTGGGAGGAGAGCTCTGCCAGGAGGCTGAGGGATCCCTCTCCTTGGAGGGCTGAGCTTTGGAGTTCACCCTTCCCCACTGCTGGGCACCACCCAGCCCCACAGTACCAGGGCTGCCCACCCTCACCAACACACACAGTCCCACACGAGGTTTAACCCCAAAGATCTCTGTGCACTGATGTCCATGTGTGCTGGAACATATTGAATGTCAAATAACTCTTCTCCTGTACAGCTGCTGAGGGTCCTTGGAAAGCCAAGACAGGCAGTTATTTTGGGTTTGAGTCCTCACACAAGTGGATTTTTTAAACCATATAACCAGTATCTCAGTTTTTAATTGTTGTCAGAGCTCATCCCATCACTGTGTTTAGCCTGGCCCTTACTTTGGTCAAACAGAAACTTCACCTTCACATTTGCACACAACTTCCAAAAGAAAAGAAGAAACAAGATTCAAAGAGAAACATGCAGAAAAATCACAGCCTTTTCATTTGAATTACATCTCCACTGCACAAAGTAAGGCAGAGAAGATGTTCCTTTCCACTACAGCTTTGGGAGGGTTCTGTGCCCTGTTTTCATGGCACGGCTCTTTATTCCAACCCCCTTTCCCAGACCTGTGGGGGATTTCCCTGGGCTGCAGCGAATGCAAAGCCAGTGTGAGGCACTGCCTGATGCTGCTTTAACCACAGCTGCTTTCTGAAGCAAATGGGTTCTACTGTGATATAGTGAGACAGGATCTAAAGTTTTTATAAAATATGACTCCATCCTGACAGCTGTAAGGAATGGAGTGCCCCGTGCTCTGCCTGGGCAGCTCTGGGTGATAAATGAGGTGAGAAGCTGTGTATGAGACAGACACAGGGACTGGCACTCCATCATTAGCCTTTGTTTGAAGCCTGCAAATGCTACTGTAAAATGTAAGTAGCTTATCAAAATATACTGATAAGCAACTTAACTTTTCATGTTATATGACAGTATTATCGTTTAAATTAATACGCTCCAAACATCTTTACAAAGTGTGTATTGGAATAGAGCAGAAAGACAGACAATTACCACTTTAAACAGCATTTAAGTTTGGCATTATATTGTAAACAATCCAGAAGGATTAGGTAGAAGATAAGTTTCTTTCTTTCTGTTTAGTTAAATAAACTTCAGCAGAGTTAAAAGCCATTACAAGGGTAACAAGAAATCCTCTCCAAACATATCTGCTAAGTAGAGATTAAGAACCTGGTAAACAAATCCGTGCAAGGCATCTATCAAAAGAGTTTGAGAAGACAGGAAACCAAGGAGGCAGAAAGCTCCCTGGCAGTGGGAAACCACAGCTGCTTCCAGGGAGGCACAATTAAAGTTCTTCTTAATCGCTCGGGGACCTTCTGGAAAACTACATTTACAAGTTGCTGCCAGCAGTGCCTGCGAGTGGGGAAGCTGCAGAGCTGCACTGACAGAGCTGAAACGAGAACCTTTAAAGCTGCTCCTGTGTTTATGATGTATGTGCATCAAAGCAAAGAGGCAAAGCAGGTTCCCCAGGCTCTGAGGGTGACCATGGAGCAGGTCCTGGCAGCACAGGGACCCAGCGGGACAACGCTGAGCCCCCGAACCAGGGTCAGGGGCTGGGCTGCTGCTCACACTGCTCTGCCCTGCCAGGGGCCTGGGTGCACTGCTGTCACACTCCTTGGCCTTCCCTTGTCTCCTCACCAGTATCCTCTGATGAACCTCATGTTGTCCTTTTTGTAACTTTAACTCTTCCTTGTTTTCCAGGTGATGGTTTAGCAGCTCAGCATTAACTGCTTCTTTTTCTATTTTGAGAATAATGTCTTGTTTTGAGAAGTGTCACAGTCTGGGAGCTGAGGAAATGAGCTGGTATTTGAAGCAGAACTCAGCACCCCACAACACACAAGGATCTGTGAGGCTTCGCTCAAGAGAGGGGCAAGACAAGATAAAACAAACCCACCACAGAATTGTGAGACAATCTCACTTCAGTTTTCACCTCCCCCATTGCCACGGCACGATTCAGGATCTCTCTCAGCCCAAAAGTTTTGGATACATTAAAAAGCTAATTTATCCTGCCACCTTCAATACTTTTACTTCATCACTTATTCCATGTGTTGACTACTCAATAGTGAAACAGTTCTGCTTTTATTAGACCAAACTGTGACCAGTTAAAGTTGAAAAACAACTAAAAAAAAAAAAAAACCCAAGCAATATAGTTATCTTGATTTGTTTCTAGATCTCTGCAAAAGGAAAAAAAAAAAAAGATGTGAATTTTTCTTACAGAAAGCAAATCCTCAAGGCAGCCTTTAAACACCCCTCCAAAGAAACAGAGGAGTTTATAACCCAAAACTTTCTGTGCCGCATGAACTTAAGTAGCACAACTGGTAGCACTACTGAAGATTTATGGCTTATGACTTGCTCATATTTAATTTGTAACCAAACACTTCCCCTTCCTCTTAGCTACCTCAGAAGTTTTGATTAACTCTTGTTTTCACAGGTCAGAGGTTAAGCAAAGGAAGGGAAGCTCTGCAGTGAAGTTGCCCAGAGCTCCGAGCACGGGACGCCCGCACAGCCCCCGCCAGCAGCACCAAACCAGCCCCAAACTGGGCTCCACTCACGGGCCTGAGGTTCAAAGACTCCAGTGAGCATAAATCACAATGGGGTGGAAGAGTAAACAAAAATAAAAGGGCAATCTGAATGCATTGTTTTTTAGCTTCACCCCCGTTCCCAGTTTCCTCACACGTGTACACATGGACAGCAGCACAAGTGCCACAAGTCCTGGGAATCCAATCAAAGCCTCGGCAGACGGGGCTTCTCCAGGCTGTGCTTGGAACCTTGGGGGGTGACACAGCTGGGGACAGCCCCGGGGGGACAGCCCTGGGGGGACAGCCCAGGCTGAGATAGTCCTGCCTGAGCCATCCTAGTGAGCCAGCCCAGGCTAAAGCAGCCCAGGTGAGCCAGCCCAGGCTAAAGCAGGCCAGGTGAGCCAGCCCAGGTGAGCCAGCCCAGGTGCCCCAGCCCTGGCTGACAGAAGCAGGGCCGGGCACAGGCAGGCACTCCCTGTGCTGCACTGGGTCTGCACAGACTCTCCTGCCCGGGCTGCACAGAGCTTCGTTCACTGCCTCACATCATCACCTTTTTAGTGCCCCCCTCGAAAGCTCAGAACACCATTGGTTACGTGTGTCACAGCAATCAGGGGCTGGTAGAGTGCTCAGGCAGCAGGGCTGTGCTGCCCTGCAAACACAAAGGGGCAAGAACATGCAACAACTCTAAGAATAGCAGAGGGGAAATCTTTAAGAAACCATCAGCACTGGCAGCCAGTTGAAAAGATGCCTTCCTCAGAAAAACCAG